CGCTCTCCCAACTTCACTCTGGCACCTCCGGGCAGACACTCACCTTGCAGTTTCCGGCGGTGGAAGCGGGGTGAGCCCAGGAAGCTGTTCTTGATGGAATTGAGCCTCGCCCTCCATGGCACCCCTCCGACGCTGGGGCTGGATGGTGGCGTGGGGTTGGGCGTGCCAGCCGGGCTCTCCTTTGGCGTGTGGACAGGTGTCCCCTTGGGGGTGGGGAGGGGACTGCCCCTCGGTGAGGGGTGAGGGGTCACCTGTATGGTGGGGACAGATTTGGTGTTTGGTTCAGTCCCAGTGGGTAGGGGCCGAGGAGGCACCCGCAGAGCAGGCGGGCCCAGGGGTGGTGCCAGCTGGGGACCGAGGCTGGCAGCAGGAGGCCGAGCTGGGGTGCTGGCCGGGAAGGGGTTGGACTTGGTGCCCTGCAGAGGCTTGTCGGTCAGCTTGGCCTTGCACGGCAAGGTCTGGGTCTTGGGGTCGGGCCGCGGGGCAGCCTGCGGAGGGAGGACGTGTCCAGGCCTCGAGGCGCTCCCACAAGCTTCGGGCTCCTCGGAGGTGGCCAGGGGGCGGGCCACGAAGGGCAGTTCGGGGGGCGGGGGGGGCAGGACAAGCTTCCTAATAGGCTACAGGAGGCGCAGGGAGTGGGCAGGGTGGGGGCAGCCGCGAGCATGCGCAGTGCAGTCCCCAGCATGCACATCGCCCAGGAGAACCAGAAAGAAGCAGGAGGGCGGGGAGCGGGAGGCAGGGAGGCAGGCAGGCACGAGCGGGAGGGGTCGCCACAAAAGAAAACAAGTGACACACAAGAATACAAACAAAACAAAACAAAAGAACGTGCAGTTAGAGCAGCCCTCGCGCAAAGCAGCAGCCGCCATCGGAGCTCGGGCGTGGGGGCCGCACCGCCTGCTTGCGTGCCTGGGGCTGCTTCCCAGGGTCCGTGGAGGCCTGCCCCCACCCGGCACACGCTGACTGGGAGGGTTGGGACTTCTGCATCTGAGCTGGGGGGATCACTCACCCGGGGGCTGCTGAGTGGGCTGGTGGAAAGGCCTGAGGAGGCACCGCTGATGGACCGAGACCTGGGGGTCACAAGGTACAGGGCCACGGCTCAGCCAGGTGCAGCGGAGTAGCAGGCACTGGGCTCTGCTCCCCCCAGGAAAACCCTCCAGGAGGCCTGGAGCCCGGGTCAAGAGCCCCGAGGGCCTGCTGCATGCCCTGCCAGTTCCAGGAGGACCCAGGGCGCCTGGCTGTGCCCAGCCCCACTGGGGCCCCCATCAGAGCCCACATGTGGGGGCCACCCCATGCCAGCCACCCAGGCACAGCACAGCGTGCAGCACCCTACGGCCACGGCAAAGGACAATCTGGGTGGACAGAGGGACGAGGGGACTGATGGGGGCTTCCTGGGAGCTGTATCTGGCCCCTTCTACTCCAGGCCTCATGCTGGCTCCAGCCTCCCATGCCCCAGCTGCCAAGCCCCCATGGCTGAGCTGTCACAGGGTCTGCAGCCTGGCCTCACGTCCACACCTGCCCATGAGGTGCCTGGGTCAGCAGCCAGCCCTCTCCTTGCCCAGAGCCTGAAGGGCCTGGGCAGAGCCAGGCTGGGGTGGCTGTCGGTGGGTCTGGTGAGGCCCTGTCCCACCTCTGCCTACTCCGCAGGAGGGAGGCCCTGGCCCGGTGTACCGGGCTGAAGACGCTGCTGTGCAGCCACCCAGCCCGCCACCCCACCTCGTGCAGGGACCAGGGCAGCTGTCTGTCACCAAACAGACTAAGCCAGTGCCCATGCACCGGGGCACTCGCCATCCTTGGAGGAGGGAAATGCAGGGAGAGACTGACACGGCCACCGAAGAGAAAAGGACAGAAGAGTAGAAGACCACCTGCGCTGCCCACCAGGATGCCCACCGCCAGCTGGCCACGAGGGGCCTTCCTGGCCCACAACATGGCCCAGGCTCTGGACTGTGCGGAGCGCTGCAGGGGCCAGCGCCCTGAGCCCACACCAGCCACGAACCTGGCTCCCGGACACCTGGGGGCTAGGCCCCACGGCGACGGCCCTCCAGCTTCCCCACCAGACGCAGCCAAGGGGCAGGGAGGCAGCGGGGACCCCATGCCCAACCCAGCCTGCCTGGGCCAGGTGGCACCCAGGGCTGGGACTGCACCCAGAACCATTAGGGGCTGGGCTGGGAGCTGTGGACGGCCCTCATGGGGCAGCAGCCACTGGCGAGACCCTGAACCTGTGGCTCCTGCCGAGCCCGCCCAGAGCCCATGAGGAAGATAGAACAGGCGCCAGAGGCCCCAGGTGGAGGGTCCGAGCCACCGTGCTGTCCAGCCAGGCAGCCACTGGGAACAGTGAGCTACCATTGCTGGGGCAGGGGCAGGGGCAGGGGCAGGAGAGAGGGCGCCAGCCCCAAGGGCAGCCAGGACAGCAGGGTGGGGACACATGGGCAGGGGTCACAGGCAGGCACGGGGCTGATACTCAAAGAGAAGAGGCTGGACTGGCAGCCAGCCCAGCGGGCAGCAGCCGTGGGATTCGGTGCCACCTGCCCAGGCTCAGGAGACTGGCCCCAGGCAGAGGCCTCTCGGTGGCGCCTCCCACCCTCCTCAGCTCCTGCGGGTTGGCACAGGACCGCTGCTCCGCTTCACCTCTGGCTGGCCCCAGGGGTAGCAAGGCCACGGCAGCATGCTGGATGTAGCCCAGAGGCTGGTAGGAAGCGTGGCACAGCCTTCGGCCACACAGGACTCTAGACCAGGCCCTGGGAGCCACGGTGCGTGGGCGCCGGCCTGGCCTCAGCAGTCCCACCCCTCCTCCTTGGCCTCTGCGCAGCCTAAGGGCCCTTCCCTGGCTTGCTGGCCGGCTCCACTGCCGCAGGGGCCCTGCGGCCCAGCCCGCCACCAGACCCGCCCATTTGCCTGCCCGGACTGAGGCAGGACGGCGAGTCTGGGGCTGGGAGGTGCCGGGACGGGTGGTCAGGGTGTATACCTGTCTTCTTTGCTGAATTGGGGATGGGCCTCAGCGATATCCAGGCTTTTACTGAACATTGCTTTACTACAGCAGGAACAAAGCGAGAAAACACAGTTACTGGCGGCCACACGTGGGCACAGTCGGCCAGGGCCTGGGCTACACCAGGCGAGAACTCCATGCGGCTCTGAGGCCCGGGCATAGCCCCCTGAGCCCAGGCCGGTGCACAGAGATGGTGAGAGAGGAGGCCGGGCCGGACAGCACGCCCCGCACCTGTGACTGCTGGGCAGGGTGGCCTGGGCGGCCCCACCCCAGCCCCCAGGACCCCTGCGTCCCTAGTCAGCAGCCCCGTGTGGCCCAGCACCGAGTGGCTGGATCTCTGCCGACTGCACAGATGGCCACGCCAGGAGCGGAGTCTGGCTAGGACATGCCAGGACTAGTGGCTTCCGGAGGCCCTGCAGTGGTCCACACCTCGGCCCATCCCACGCCTACCCCAGGCAGCCAGACCTGGGAGCTGCAGCAGAGACCAAGAGGGCAGCCTCCCACACCACTGACCGGAGGCCAGGCGGTGGGGTGTCAGGGCCTGCCCTGTGGGGTCAGGAGAGCCCTGTGGAGGCGCCATGCAGGCAAGAGGCAGGCGCAGGGCTGGGGGTTGAGGTGCACCTGTGACATGCAGCCGCTGAAGGTCAGAGCCATGGAGTGGAGACTGGAGGCTCCCGGCTGACCCCTGTATGGGGGCCAAGGCCGTGACTGACTGCACCCTGGGAAGGAGGTTCCAGGGGGCTGGGACCCGAGGTTGGAGGCTGGGCCAGCCTGGAACCCTGGGGAGGGCCTGGGACTCCCAGAGGGCCATGGCCTGGGAGCCGGCGGAACTGGGACCACCAGTACAACGGCCAGGGCTGGGGCTGGAACAAGTTTACCTTATGGCTGCCAAGCTACCTCACCGTTCCTCAGTTTCCCCCAAGTTCCCAAGGAGCAGGCCTAGCTTGTCCCGGCACCCAAATCCTCAGTACAAGGAAGAGGCCCTGGGGTGCTGAGATCCAGACCACAGGGTGGACTGGAGTCTGCCTGGGCTCCCAGACCTCCGGCTGTGCTCCCCACAGGCTGGAAGGCCCCACCTGGCGAGGGATGCTTGGGCTCATCCCTGAGAGGCCGCACCAGCTCCAAGGATTTGCTGAGGGCCTTGTGCAGGCAGCCTGGCCCTGCCCCCACCCAGCAGAGGCACCACTGGGCCTGGGTGCCCTTTCTCCGGCCACGGGTCTTGTCAGGGCAGCCCACACCTGCTCCTCACTGCCGAGTTCTGTGATGTCCCTGGCCACACACATCACACTTGCCACCCAGAGACAGGCCCAGCGTTGCTCGGGCCAAGGGGATGGGCTAGCTGGGCCGATGGCTTTGAAGCATGACGTGACCATATCACAGCTCAGCCTGGCCAAGCTTGGGTCAGGTCAGCCCAGCCCAGCCCTGCCCTGCCCTGCCAGCTCAGCCCTGCCCAGCCTGGCTCAGCTCAGCTCAGCCAAATCCGGTTCAGCCCAGCTCAGCCCTGCCCTGCCCAGCTCAGCCCTGCCCTACCCAGCCCAGTTCCGCTCAGCCCTGCTCAGTCGTCTAGTTTAATACAGCCCAGCTTGGCCCAGCTGAGTCCATTCTAGCCCAGTCCAACCTAGCTTAGCCTAGTCTAGTCTAGATCAGACCAGCCCCGCCCAGTCTAGCCCAGTGAAACCCAGTCCAGCCCAGCCCAGCCCCAGCCCAGCCCAGCCCAGCCCAGC